AAGATTCAAACATTGAATGGTTCGGAAAACTTTAGCAGACCTATTTGTTAAATTTTTTTATAAACAGTTTGGGGGGAGGAGTTAAACTAAGGTGAGAAACACTATTGTATCATTTATTTTTGAAAACATGTTGCACCATGCCAAAAACTATTTTATAATGGATCATTTCATGATTTGTTAACCGAAACAGGGGTATAGAAACAATAAAAAGTGTTTTTCAAGCGGAATGGGTACATCATTGATGTATAAAGTGTTTAGGCACAAATTAAGCTTCTCATAAAAATGTGTTAAGGATCAGTTTGAAACGTGGTTAGAGAAGATAAAAATGTGGGTAATGCAAATAAATAATTTAACCCTTTTGCACTAGAATGCAAGTGTTATTGTTAAAAAAACCATATTGAAACAGCCTGATGTATGACATTATGGTATTTCTCATCTCATCACTTTGAGAGAGTAGTATTGTAATGTCACACATCTAGGGAACTCAATAGGTTTTATTTAAGCGTTTGTTCATGACATGTGAAGTAAGAACAATGAAGTACTTCGTTAATATTCATTCTTAACTAACTACAAAACAGTACAGAGTATTTTTTGAAAAAAGAATTACCCTAGCGAGAGCTGAGGGGCAGGTTTTCGTCGGCTTTGCGCGGCGCTGGAGATCCGACATCTGTTTGGCGTCGAGGAGAGGCTCGATTGTCTGTGGTGGCTGAGCGATGGACGAAGAGGAGGAAGGACATCGCAGGGAAGACGAAGATCGAAGAGCAGAGAGGATCCAGGTGAACGAGCAGGTAGGCAGTCTCATCAACAAATATGGCAGTCTGGGGATCGGCAGGATGGACGAGGTGCTGCTAATTGAGGACGAGGAGGAAGGGGAAACAACGGCAGGGGCAGGGAAGAAGGATTACCCGGTGGTTGGGATGATTCTCACGGACAAAGTCATCCCATTCCCTTTTTCGGAATTTTATGGCTGATTTGTGGCACCCGGGCAAAGGAATCACCATACAAGAACTTGGAGAAAGGAGGTATATGTTTAAGTTCTTTCATTATGTTGATATGAATCGGGTCTTGGAAAATGGGCCCTGGCTGTTTGATCAAAACTTGATTGTGCTAAAATCTGTTGAACCGGGGGTATCCCGAATAAGATGGTGCTAGACGAATTTGAGATCTGGGTACAGGTTCAAAATGTGCCATACGGTTTTTGAGAATTTGGGAACGGCTAGGAAAATAGGAAATGATTTGGGGGAGTTTATCTCTTGGGATGAACAAAAGTTTAGTAGAAAAAAGGAGGCTTATATGCGGGTGAAGGTTCGTATGAATACGGGTAAACCTCTAAGAATTGGGACCACGTTAGAGAAAAGCAAGGGGGAAGGACATTGGGTAGACTTTAAGTATGAAAAGCTGCCAAATTTATACTTTTGTTGTGGTATGATTGGACATGCAGAGAAGTTTTGTTCCCTGCTGTACGAGAAGGAAGGAAAAATTATGACTAAACCATTTGGGTCGTGGCTTAGAGCGAGTGGAAGGAAGGCGAAACAAACGTTGGACAGTAAATGGCTGTTAGCGGAAGGAAGTTCCTTCGGCGGTGACAAGCACTGGTCAAGTATGGTGAGACCAGGTCAGGAGGTGGTCTCGGATGAGATGGGAGAGAGCCCTAAGGCGGGAGGGGGAAATGGTTTGTTTTCAGGTGAGCTTGAAGAGGAAGGACTGACAGGAGAGCTGAAGAGGAGACGTACGTGGAAGAACCAGGCAAGCGAGGATGCCGAGAAGGATGATATGGCTCTGGATTTTCCAAAAAAAAAACGGGGATGGGGCGGGCGCGGGTCTCCAACCCCGCCAGAGGACCTGATGCTGATTACAACCTTTCTAGCTGAAGAACTTTTTTATTGTAGTTATTTTGTTTTATTTATTTTCCACGTTCTGGATGTTGTTTTTGCTTTGACTGTGCTGCGTTTTTCCAATGAGAATAATTTGGAAACTAAAACAGGTACTGAGGTGGCGTGTCTACAAGTCATAGGCTCAGGTAAGCCCAAAGCGGGATCAGCGAATTATATGGCTTCTACGGAGGTGATTAATTCAAAGTCTGATCCTTGGGCGGACGGTAGACAGGAGACTTGTCGTCACTTGGTTACCTTGTTTAGTTTGGTCTGTTTGGTCCGTTTTGATATGATATATTAAGCCAGTTTCGTTAAAAAAAAACTACAAAACAGTTTTTGGTAAAAAAAAAACAAAAAAACAATTTTAGTAATTAAGGAAAAAAGATAGTTGACATGTTCATAAATGAAGAAAAGAATGTTAACTCATAAGAGTCTATTTCTAAAATATTATAAACATCAATGAAGGTTTGGGTATTTTTGGTACATTAAATGTGTTGGTGTAACACAAAGCATTATCATCTTGTACATTATGCTCTTATCATTATACATATGGTATTGCTCTTATTTTCCTCCGTTACCTCCGTTAATATCCAAGTGTACATTGTGCTTAGTCGTCTCTTCCCTGACTTGACATTGTTCATTCATTCTCAGAGTTTTTTTAATTTAAATTTTCCCATTTCATTTAATTTCATTTAATTTGGAATTTTAAATGTGTGGTGCCCTTTCAGGCAAAAAAAAAATGTGTGGTGCCCTTCATCATCGTTTGAGCTATCTCATTCCTACTACTCAAATTAATATATAATCGTTCCAATTGGATTTTAGAATGAGAATTTTCCTTATAAGCCTTGGATCAGTTTTGCAAGAAAGTAGATCCGTAATGTAAAGCGTCAAATAGAAACGATATCTATTACGTGTAAGAAAAACGATATCTATTACTCTATTACGGATTGATGTTGGTGTTGTTGTTAATTATTTGAATTTGTTTTGAATGGTATGTGCGATTTTCAATCCGGGATCTGAAAAAATGAAATGTATCGGTATAGGATACGAATGATGAAGAACTATCAACCAAGGACCTAACATTTTGTAGGTTTTGATTTATTTATTTATTTATTATTATTCAATTACTAATTTTTGGTAAATGTTTCTTCACAAAAGTTTATTAGTTTAATAAAGCTAAATAATATTTTTAATTTTTAATTTTTTAAAATAACAAAAATTATAAAATTCATGACAACTAAGATCCTAGATTGATAGATTTCAATCACTTTTTCTTTTAAAGCAATTTTCTGATCTGATCTGAATGTTTCTGATTTGATCTGAATCTTTCTGATCTGATCTGAATCTTTCTGATCTGATATGAATCTTTCTGATCTGATCTAAATTTTTCTGATCTGATCTGATCTGAATAAAATAAGAATAAGCAATAAGTATAAGAATAAGACGAACAGAACAACACCCTAGTTCATTTATCTCTCATATTCACAAACCTCAAATATATACATAGTTTTTACTATTCTAACTTCACACAAAATATCAAATATGGAATAGGAAAGTATACTTTTTAGATATGTTTTTAAATATTAATTTCTCATTCTCACTAAATCAAATCCACATTAGCCATCTGCTTGGATAGCCACATTAGATATGTTTTTAAATATTAATTTCTCATTCTCACTTTTATATATCCGATTATATAGCCATCAATTTATATATCCGATTCTCATCCTTGTTTTGCTTTCATTTGAACTAGGCAAAGGGTATATGCATTTTAGGTATATGCTTTCTTGGGAAAACACTTTAAAATATTTGATAAAATAGCATAGGAAAATATGTTGTGTGTATGGACCTGAAAGATAAAAGAATTATCGATCTGGGACTTGAAAGATGAAATATATCGATATGAGACCCGAATGATGACAAACTATTAATTTAGGACCAGAATGATTGAAAACTATCAATTTAGGACTTAAGTAGTCATGAATTTTATTATTTTATTATTTTAAAAATTTATAAATATTATTTAGCTTTATTAAACTGATAAACTTTTGTGAAGAAATGTTAACATATCAATTACTAAAAGTGATTATATCAAATTGATATACAATATACATGCATATTTTTTAATAAAAAGCATATTGGGCATTTTATTCAATCGCGCAACGCGCGTGTTGAAAACTAGTCAATATATAGGGGAGTTGAGAACACACATAGTAAAGATCAAGCACAATACTACTGGATGCCCATTTTTTTTTATTGTGAATAACCCCAAAAATTGAGATTTTTTACAAATTATGGACTGTATTGTTAACAAACAATATTTTCATACAATTTTTCAATTTTTAAAGTAATACTGTATAAAAAAACCATTGGCCAAACTTGACCATCATTGATCAAGAAAAATCAATAGGTCCAAGTTTCATGGATGGAGGGCGTATATATTTATTCTTCTTTCAAAACATTTTAGCTCTAGCTTTCACTGACTATATTTAATTATAACTACTTATATATATATATATATATATATATATATATATATATATATATATATATATATATATATAGATGATGAAACTTCATGTCAGGCCGGCCTGACGGGCTGCCCCGTCCGGCCGAGCCCGTTTGGGCACCTTCCCGGTGGAATTTTTTGATGAAATTTTTTGAGCATGTTCCTCATCAAGTCTAGTTTGTCCATACCAAATTTCAGCTCAAAATTCGATCGGGAAGGTCGTCAAATGATTTTTGCAAGTTAACTGGTCCGGAAAATACATCCACACAATTGATTTATATAAAGAATCTTTCACTAATTATATCAACAAATAATAAAATACAATTAATGTATAATTTTGATTCGTGCATCGCATAAGTGAAAATCTAATTAATACTCCGTAACATGTAACGTATTGTTGGCCACTAAATGCCAAACATGCCCTTAGTCTCTCCTACGGAGTATTAATCCATGATGCTAATGGGCTGTTGGGTTGGACTCTAACAACCAATATACTTGAGCTCCACATACATGGATCGAGCCCAATAATTGGATGGGGCCCAATCCATTTTTATTGCTGGTCAGTTAAATTTCATTTAATCCAATTTGCAGAGAGCCCTATAATCAAAGAAGAAAGTTGGAAGACAGGAATCTTGCTTGCGAAAAAAGTTTTCACTTGATATTTCTGAGGAATTGGGGAGCTTAAGTTTTCAGTTTTCACCGCATAGTTGTAGCACTTGCTGCGCTCACAAGTCTGTGACGATGTCGTCAGATCCGAAGGGTTCTGGAGCCAGCGCCGGCGATAAGCAAGATAAAGATAGAGAGGTGGCTTCTACCAAAGTTCCGGCCAAGGATCTTAAGAAGAAGGATGCCAAGAAAGACGAGGATCTCGTGAGTTTGTTCGAATTTACGCTCTTGCTTATTCATAATGCAGACCTTTTTAAAGATTATTATGCTGAAATTACAACTAATTAACTAAAGAAATTAAATTAAATAAAATTCTATGCAGTTTGTGTTATGAAGTGATATGCTATGAGAACTATTCAATAATGAGAAAGTAGGGATAGAAATGGCTTTTTTATACTAGTATTATTTACTTGCCCGTACTTATTTAGCCTGAGGCGTTTGTTATTGTTGTTACCATTAATTCTGTTTGTCTATATATTTATTTCTGGTTTTAATAGTCGGAGGAGGATATAGCGTTGAAGCAACAACTAGAATTGTATGTGGAGCGTGCACAGGACCCTGACACATCATTGCAGACCGTTGCTCTTGAGAGCATGAGGTAATTTTTCTCCAGATGCCTTTATAATCTTGAATCTGATTTTAGAGTATGATCCTTGGTTTTTTTCTTACTGAAGTTTAAAATATGTCGGTATATTGTTGTTTGTAGCACTTATAAAATTTGTTTATATGTATATAACTATAGGACATTAAGTTGCAACTAAATTTTGTTTAGTCACTTTAATGGGCTGTCCTGTCAAAGCGTGTGCAACTGTGTATTTAGATGAATGCTAACTTTATATTGGTGAGATATATTCAATATTCATACTTTGTGGCTTTGTGCAAGATGAGATGATAATACTTCTCATTCTCATGTCAACTTTTATTAAGTTCCAACCTTTTCTTGGTGGCTCTAAATACATTACTATCTAAACAGCATATATATCACTCTTTGCTAAGCTAGTGCTTACTACCCAGCGAATATGATAAGTCGACAACTACCTTCAATCAACTTATTATTATTATTATTTTTTGAATTTGCAGGCAGGAAATTCGAACAGCAACAAGCTCTATGACATCCGTTCCCAAGCCACTGAAGTTCTTGCGACCACATTATGGTACATTGAAGTCTCACTATGAAAACATGCCAGATTCTGATGCAAAGGTGTCAAGTGTTTTCCGATCTTCAACTTTTATGACACGATTTTATAAGATGTATGATGTATGTTTCATAGCTTTGAATTCACATCCTCCCCACACACGCAGAAACTTATGGCTGACATACTTTCTGTTCTGGCGTTGACAATGTCTGCTGAAGGAGAAAGGGTATGTTCAATTTTTCTTCTTCTTTCAAATATCATTCTTCCATCTTGCATATATTATATAGTTGCATGAATTGCATCTTCTTTCTACAAAAACATTGGTCTCCATGGACACTGATCATGCTTAATAATGAGCAATATGCATGTGATTTTCTGTACATTTTCAAGGGGTTTTAGTTAGGAAAATTAGTTCATGTAAGCTTTCGATCTTTTTTCAAGATAATCTGTTTGCTGCTTATTATAAGTGACTTTTAACTATCCTTGTCTTTTGTATGTGCAGGAGAGCTTGAAGTATAGGCTACTGGGATCTGAAGGTGATATTGGATCATGGGGCCATGAGTATGTAAGGTAGTTACTAGTTAGTCCTCTTCATATGTATCTGACTATTTTCGATAAGGATAAAACAGTTTTGAGTTCTAAAGACATGCTCCGTATAGCAGTGGAAAGACTTAAGGTAAAATAACGTGATGAAGAAAATATTGTATTTGCTATGTACCCGTTTGAATAATGACGGTTTCAGGAAAACGCCATTCATTTTTGAACTACAAACGCTGCTAAAAGCAGCGTGTAGGTGCTGAACCGCCAAAACAAACAAACAGGGGCTATATCAAATACGCATGGAGTATTTAAGTACACATTTTCATTATAAGATACTGAATCATATAATCTTTTTCTACAAATTTGATATATCTGCTCTGCCTCCAGCAGTTTAGTAATCTATCATTTGCCGTAAGTTATGCGCAATGAGTAGCTTAAACTTTGTCATGGTATACAGTCCCATATAAATACTAGCTGAGCATGCAAGCTAAGTCCCTCTGAAATCACTTTAACTATTTAAATATCCATATTTTTATTTATTTATTTATTTATTTATTTATATATTTATTTACTGTTTTGGCACTTTCTCTGGGTACCAAAAATGGTGAACACAATAGTTTTTCAATTCTGGTTGGATTTACTTATTAAATATGTAAACCTCACATCTTTATGCTAGCATGGGCAGGTGCCAAGGTGCTAACCAAACAAAATGCTTAAGAGAAAATAAGTGTATAGGAAATACTTTTTCAATTAGGAATTAAATTTTGTGTGTAGCATTTGTATTCACAGTTGTCATGGCGCATGGCGATCGCCATGGCTCAAAGGCATTTTTCATGGCGCATGGCGATGGCGCATATACGAACGGCGCATATAGCGCATATGGCGCTATGGCGGCGACTACTTTTACATGGCGATAGGCGATAGCGCATATGGCGCGCGCCATATCTAGCCATTGACTACTATGTTTATATTATAATATCATTTCATAATTCTACATTAATGCGTTCTGATAATTGCTTATTACACCTGCAGGAATTTGGCTGGGGAGATTGGACAAGAATACGCAAAGCGGCAGGTTATTATTCCAATTCTCGGATTTTAATCTTGTTGTTGTAGATATTTAGCCACATTTGTTCTTTATATGGGATAGTTTCTATATAAAAATGTAGAACATATGACTTGGACATATTACAATTATTTAAAAAATGATATTGACCTATCAACTCCTAGTGTCATAGAGCCTGTCTTAGAATTAAAAAATCAATCTCTTAGATTAGCTACCCGTCTTCGCAAAAGTCTCATACTCGACAAGATAAAGATTTGCTCTCATTGATGTACTTAATGGGAAAGTTAGTTTCATTTGATACGTAGAAATGCCGCAATGCCACAGGTTTATTAACTTGTCCCCAATTTCTTCTCATGTTTTATGACACACTATTCAGAGTGAAGAGGCCCATGTTGATGATCTCATGGAGCTTGTGCAGCAAATTGTTGCTTTTCATATGAAGGTAAAACATGCAAAACACTACTCTGCTATTATGGAAATCAAAGTTCATAGTCTATGTAGAAATAGGTTTCTATCATTCTATCCTTTAAATGCATCGGATTTAAACACCATGGTTTGTGTCTGTATTGCAGCATAATGCAGAACCAGAAGCAGTCGATCTTCTAATGGAGGTAGTTGTAGTTTTATGAACTTTTGTTGCATCTGTCAACGTCCTGATTTCATAGTACAATTTAAACGTTGATATGTGATTTGTTTTGTTTGTTCTTATAAATCAGGTCGAAGATCTTGATCTCCTAGTGGAACATGTGGACAGTACAATTTTCAAGAGGACATGTTTATACCTTCAAAGTGCGGCAAAGTAAGTTGGGATGTAGATATGTGTGAATGCGGCATGCTATATCTGATGATAGTGTCAACTTTGCGTCTTACTCCCTCCATCCCACAAAACATTGCCATCTTTCCTAATTTGGTCGTACCAAAAACTTTGCCATTTCTATTTAAAGTAATAAATATGTGGTTAAAGTTATTTCTCTCTCCTCTGCACAAATCTCAACCACAAAGTTTTTTACTTTAATATTCCACGTGCAAGTCAACTTTGACCAAGTTTGTGTAATGGAGGGATTACTTTAGTTGTAATTCTTTTTTGAGCTCATCTTGAATATCTATTTGTAATATTTTATCAATACCTCTGAGTGATACTTTTTTGGTCTTGCGTTGCCTTACAGCTACCTTCTTGAACCGGATGACATATTGGTTCTTGATATTGCACATTCTATTTACACGAATTTTGAGCAACATGAAAGTGCACTTTTAATTTCATTACGTCTTGACAATATGCAGGTATGCACTTAGCACATAAATTTCTGCATGTATATGCTATTGCTATGAATGTAAAGTGAACTACATAAGCAGTTGAAAGTGCATATGTAAACTTTAAATTCTGAAATCTGTTGCTCACCCCCATAACACAAGTATATGTGGTTTATTGTTTCTTGCAGTACGTGAAACAAATTTTCATGTCATGTGATGACCTTTTACGGAAGAAGCAATTATGCTTTATCCTTGCTGATCATGTAAGTGCATAATTTGCAAGTCGGTGGTGTTTCAAATGCCAGCAATGGTGAAGGGTGTTAATAATTTTCAAATGTCTAGTCCACATGTCTATCTCAATCAGTAAAAGTGAACTTGGTTACTTTAGGGCAGTATAGTTTGATATCATTGATTTTGTCTTGATTAGAGATGTATACATTTTGTTCTTAAGTACCATCAATATACTTTGTGCAGCATGCAACATTTGAGCTTGATGAAGATATGTGTGGAGAAGAAGAGTTAGAAGGACTGCAGGAAATTATCAACAATTCTAAATTAAGCGAAGGCTATCTTGCTCTTGCTCGTGATATCGAAGTGATGGAGCCTAAATCCCCTGAGGACATTTACAAGGTTCAGATTTTTGAAATGATTCTTTCCATTGTCTTGTTATTGTATCAGTTTCATGTAGTGTACTATTTGAGTAAATTTACAAAATATTCTTTAAGTTTCAGCCTTTTGGGATATGTAGTTTCCCTTCATAGATTTTTCTCCTTCAAATTTGTCTACCTCTTTGATTCATAACGCACTTTCCCCCTCTTCAAATTTTCACACTATGGGCTGTTTTTATTTGGGAATTTAGGCTCATTTGCTTGATGGTCGTGGTGCTGGGGCGAATGTTGACTCTGCAAGACAAAACTTGGCCGCAACATTTGTCAATGCATTTGTGAATGCCGGATTTGGACAGGTAATTCATTTGCTGCATCTACCTCCACATTTCATGTGAGTGTAACGGGGAGGTTTTTTTAGTGAGGACACATCTTTTTTTATTGAAACTTTTGATATCAGTTTTTCATATTTCCAATCAATGGCTAAAGTTTATGAGGTGGCATTTTTGTATGTCCTACATTCAAATTTGGCATTTGTGTAATTTGTCTAAGATTAATAGCAAAACTGATGCCTTGTGAAATTTAGCCATTGATGAGAAAAGTGAATGGTAGAAATTGAATGTTGGTATCGATGTGACGTGCTAATGATAAGGGGAGTGCTCTCATAAGTAGCCTGTTTTTTCTACACAGACATGCTAAATAAGGACATTTTGTTTGTTCATTATCTTTAGACCCAATTTACGACATAATTTGGCCCTCAACTGTGTAATTTGGACTCAATTTATCTTCAGCATACGGGAATTCCATTTGTACTTGGAGTAATATATACACATGAACCAAATTAAGTCTTAGTTGCATAATCCAAGACCAAATTGAGTCCAAAAGAAAAGAGAAGACTAAATTAAGTAATAGTGTAGTTGAGGGGCTGAGTATAATCTCTCTCTCTATACATGCATATATGAATGCAAACATATTTATATTTATTTATTTATCTATTTAAATAAAGGCTCAAGACTGAAGTGTATATTGTAGGATAAGTTGATGACAGTCCCATCAGAGGCCTCAGGAGGAGGTTCCTCTACAAGTTGGCTTTTTAAAAACAAAGATCATGGAAAGACCAGTGCTGCAGCAAGCCTGGTATGTTGACATGTCTTTTTGATTTTTTGTTTTCCTGATTTATGTGGTGTGCTTATTTTTGTGCAGATTCTAATATCCTTCTTCCAATTCTTTGCGCAGGGTATGATCTTGCTTTGGGATGTTGACACTGGGCTTTCACAAATTGACAAGTACTTTCATAGTACTGATACTCATGTAATAGCGGGTGCTCTATTGGCTGTTGGAATAGTCAATTGTACTGTCAAGAACGAGTGTGATCCTGTGAGCTCTCAACTTTCTTTTTCTGAAACACAGTATATTCTTTGACTCCAACTCTTAGGGTGTCTTTGGAATTTAATAATGGAAAGAAACAAGGAAGCAAATGGAGAGGAAAGTGAAATGGAAAGAATGTTTGACATATGGGGTGTTTGGAATTGATTCTTCTTCTACTTCTTTTTTAATATCAGAGGCAGAATTAGAATCAATTTTCCAGAAGCTGGTCTCTCTCTCCCAACTTTTAAGTACTTCTGCAGTTTCGCCCAAACACTCCAATATCTGCTTCTGTTGCTTAAAGGACCAGAAGCAGTTTTGAGAAGTAGATCCAAACACCCCCATAAAATAAAGGATTAAATTAAATTAATTTTTAATCCAAGAAACTTGCCCAAATTTGTTTTATTTATTTATGTATTATTTATTTATTTATTTATTTATTTATTTATTTATTTATTCATTTATTTTTATTATTATTTATTTACTCCCTCCATCTTCAAATAATTCTCCTGGTTTCCCGAAATAATTGTCATGTTTCAAATTTTGACAAACATATGTGTTCTACATCATTTCTCCTTTCTTTACTCAGATCTCAAGTCTCAACCACACATTTTACCCTTTCAACCACTTTATTAATATGTGTGCAATAAAAACAAGACAATTAATTTGGGGTGGAGGTATTATTTATTTATTTATTTATTTATTATTATTATTATTATTTATTAATTTCTTTACTTACTTCCTCACTTATTTATTTTATGCTAATCCTAAGAAAGTATGAATTTAAATGTATGATTTTTCAATCATATTTCTCTCTCAAACCTCAAACATTAGAATAATTTTGCCAAAGTTGTGTCCTCTATTCCTAGCTTTTCTACAATTGAAATATACCCTTAATTTATCCTGATAAATGATAATTAATGACTTCAATCACAGGCATTAGCCCTTCTTGCTGACTATGTAGACCGAGATGACCCTTCTATTAGGATTGGTGCTATAATTGGCCTTGGACTGGCTTATGCGGGATCTCAACATGAACAGGTGTGATCCTCCTCTGATATGATTCATTGTTGCCTTTGCAAAGTCGTTTGGAAAATTGAAGGATCATTATGTATTTGGCTCTATTATGTACACACTCTCTTTCTCCACATGGTTGAGTAACTTGGTTGTTCTTCAGATCCGTTCGAAGCTTATTCCAATACTCGGAGATACAAACGCACCACTAGATGTGATTGCATTTACAGCAATCTCATTGGGGTTGATATATGTGGGTTCATGCCATGAAGATATTGCACAGGCTATTATATTTTGCATGATGGATCGGAGTGAGTCTGAACTAGGAGACCCCCTTGCGCGTCTACTGCCACTTGGTCTCGGCCTTCTTTACCTAGGGAAACAAGTATGCTGGCTTTCTGTAATGTCTTTTATCGTAATTGATGAGTTCTTTGTCATCAAATTGGATGTGTGCTTATATATATGCAAGTTAATACTTTATTTAGTCCCTCAAGGCGTAAAGCCGTAAAGTGTACAGTATTACTAATTTAGTTCTCATACATATTTAGTGCCAATTAAGAAGAGTTTCAACCCTCAATTATGTAATTTTAACCCAATATATTCTTCAACAATTTGAGACACCCTTCTTAATTAGAGGAGAGTATGTGTGAGGACTAAATTAAATCTGAGTTGTATAGTCAAATATCAAATTGAGATCAAAAGAAAATTGAGGACCAAATTGACTCCAAAAGAAAACTAAGGACCAAATTAATTGATTTAGTCGGAATAAGGTCTTAACTTTATGTACACTCAAGCACTTGATTGGTTCTATTCTTTTCACTGCATTGGTCATTCACTAACAGGATAGAGTAGAGGCCACAGCTGAGGTTTCAAGGACTTTCAGTGAGAAGATCAGAGAACACTCTGATATGACCTTACTTTCTTGTGCTTATGCTGGAACCGGGAATGTACTCAAGGTTGTCTTTTAATCAAATGAGTCTCCTAAAGAAGTCGTTCCTCATATACAGTAATTGCTAATTGTTCTTTTTGTCACAGGTCCAATACTTCTTAGGTCAATGTGCTCAACATCTTGATAAGGGTGAAACTTACCAGGGACCTGCTGTGCTTGGTATTGCTATGGTGGCAATGGCTGAAGAGCTAGGGGTTGAAATGGCTATACGGTCTTTAGAACATCTTCTGCAGTATGGTGAACAGAACATTAGAAGAGCAGTTCCTTTGGCTCTCGGCCTCCTTTGCATATCAAATCCAAAGGTGACTTGTCAAATATTCAACTTTAGTTTCCATATGAATTGGTAGTAATACTACTATTATTAATATTATTAATAATACTATATAATTATTATCTTCATCATCATCATCCATAAGTTGTACTTCCAAATGATACATTTTATTATTCCTTCCTAACTTGCATTTTCTTGCCTGCTATCCCATAGGTCAATGTTATGGATACGTTAAGCAGACTGAGTCATGATTCCGACAGTGAAGTGGCTATGGTATTGTGACCCAAAGAGAGTTTCCAAGTCAGATCTCATTATACTATTTCTTCAGCAATTAGTGAATGATTTTCTGATTTTACAGGCTGCCATAATTTCATTGGGGTTGATAGGGGCAGGAACTAACAATGCTAGAATAGCTGGGATGCTACGCAATTTATCAAGTTACTATTACAAGGAAGCTAACGTTCTTTTCTGTGTAAGGATACTTGTGTTCCTATTTCACACACAATATTGTGTTCTTGTGTTCTGTAAATAGAATTTGTTAAAATTGATAGTTTTCGTCCTGTTTTAGGTTCGGATTGCCCAAGGCCTTGTCCATTTAGGAAAAGGGCTATTAACGCTCTCACCTTACCACTCTGAGAGGTTTTTATCATCTCCGTAAGTGTGCTCTCCTCTCATTGAAACACATACATGAACATAAAGTTGCATTATTTGTTTCATAATGTTTACATTAACACAAAATAGCAGTGTGTTCTTATCGTTTTATGAATGACTTGCTATAATTTGCCCACATTTATGGGAAGTGCTTTCTTCGAACCGAGGCATTCTTGGAGCTTTTCCATTAAGCACATTTTTTTTTATAGAATTTAAAGCATTTTTTCATTTCCATGTCAAATGTTTCTTTTTAAAGGAATAGCATTTATATGCATATAAAAAGTACTTCTCTCACTAAATACTCTCTCTCATGCCACATCTTCCATTTCCTCAGGACTTCATTGGCTGGACTTTTAGTTGTGCTGCATGCTTGCCTTGATATGAAAGCTCTCATATTGGGGAAGTACCATTATGTGTTGTACTTCCTTACATTGGCAATGCAGGTATTCTTTTCTTTCAAACTAGTTACTCCGATTGTGTTAATCAAATATGTTTCATATTTGACCTTATATAGTTTTGTTTTTTCCACTTAAGTTTTCATTTTGACTTTATATATGATCCTTTTTTGGTTTGCAGCCGAGGATGCTAATGACAGTAGATGAGAATTTGAAACCATTGTCGGTACCGGTGCGTGTGGGCCAAGCAGTTGATGTGGTTGGTCAAGCAGGGCGGCCCAAGACAATCACTGGGTTCCAGACCCACTCCACACCTGTTCTCCTTTCTGCCGGTGACAGAGCTGAACTAGCCACTGACAAGTATAAAACTCATTTCTTCCCCCACTTTTTAATTTGTCTTTTTTTTTGGTATCCCAGATAAGATCTCGAATATGAGCTAGTAACGTAAACGTTTCATCCACAGATACATTTCGCTATCTCCCATTCTTGAAGGATTTGTCATACTGAAGGAAAACCCAGATTACAGAGAGGACCATTAGTCATATTCTCCAGGGTCTGGCTACCTTGAAGGGCTCCATAAATTGTCATTTTAATTTGCAAGAGGTGTATTTTGATTCCGCTGTCTTTACTCCCCCACTCCCACCTTGCGACATTCTCTCCTATAAAATTTTACTTTAGTTGAGAGATAATTTTATGAGAGGGATTCGTCTTTCTCACATCCACTTTTGTTTAGTGTAAATTAGAATTCAGTGGCAATTGTTTATTTTGCGACATTCTTTTTTTGGAAAGATTTTGCTTGAAATCTTGAAAAAAAGAGACGTTTCTCCTCTGGTACTACTGTATCCTTTGAGGGAGCATGATGTATGATAATTCGACTTTGGTTCAGTAGGGGTGTTTGGAACTGATTCTGATTCTGCTTCTTTTTTAAAATAGAAGTAGAATCAGAATCAGTTTTCAGAAACTGGTCTCCCCCAGCTTCTAAAAAACTGATTCTAGGAGTAAATTAGACACCAGAATCACTTCTGGAATTTCACCCCAAACACTCTAACTTCTGCTTCTGCTCCATAAAGCAGAAGCAGTTTTAAGAATCAGATCTATGGATGGACCCGGGCCGGTTCGGGCCCGGTTCGGGCCTAGGCCCGGCCGGGCCTCGGGTCTGTTTTGTTGGGCCCGAGCCCGAACCGGTGGCCACCGGTTCCGGGTCCGGTTCCGGGCCGGACCGGGCCGGTCGGGCCACCCGGTTTAATTTTTTTTTTTTCCTTTCTTCCCCCACCCCCTCACCCCCCCCACCCCCCCAAACCCCCCCCAAACCGGCCTAAACAGATAGCCCAAGCCCAACAGCCTAAAACAAATGAAAAAAATTAAAAAAAAAATAGATTTGGCCCGGACCCGGGCCTGAACCGGCCGGGCCGTCAAAACCATGAACCGAGCCCGGAACCGCCCCACCCCCGGGCCTCCGGCCCGAACCGGACCCGGACCCGGATAGCCGGGCCGGGCCGGGCCCGCACAGTAGCGGGTCGGGCCGGTCCCGGGCCGGGCGGCCCGAACCGAGGCCATGCCTAATCAGATCCAAACACTCCCTAGGTACTTTTATTTTGTTACGGCAAAAGAAAAAGTAGCTCGTGACTACGAACAAGCATTTGAGCACTCCAACGAAAGTTTCAATGAACGTGAACAAAGCAAGAACACAGAAGGAATTTTTAAGAGAAGGCTGGAGAGTTTTCTGAGCTAAATAGAAGTGCAACACGTTTGTGACTTGTGAAATTTTGCAAAGCATCAGCCAGCCTTTTATAGGGGTGGATTGCATGGGTTAAAATCGTTTGGATAACCAACTCGGGCCGGGTCGGGTCGGTTCCAAAGATTTTTTTTCCTTATTAACCCCAGACCCCCCCAACCCCCTCCTCCCCCAAAACACCCAGTCCAACACAGGAACAAGCCCAAAACAATGGAAAAACAAAAAAAAGGCCCGAACCGGGCCCGCCCAGGGCTGGTTCCGAAGAAGGGGCTGAACCAGGACCGCCCCGCCTTAACCTCTGGGACCGGCTCTGAGCTCGGATTCAAAACCGGTACACTGGGCTGGGCCGGGCCCGCACAGTACCAGGCCGGGTGGCCCGAATCGGGTCCAACACTAATAATCCCCCACTTTTTAAATGGAAACTAATAATCCAACCAATTAACGGTCTTCTCACAATAGTCCAACCTTTTCGTTATTCAGGAATAATCCAACCTTTGTACCCCATCTTCATTCGCTGGTCCTTGATCGATTGATGACCTGATATTCCAAGTTATTCTCTTATCTTTGTTAAACATTATGTGACCATAATGTGAGATTTATGGTATAATATATAATAAAGATAAGAAAATAATTTGGAATAGCAAGTTATTAACCGGTCAGAGACCAGCGAATGAAGATGAAGTGCAAAGGTTGGATTTAAGACTGGATTCGGGCCGGTTCGGGTCCGGGCTGGGCCTAGGCTCAGGCGGGCCGCCGGTTCTGAATAGTTGGGCTCCGGACCGGCCGGGCCGGGCTTCCTTTTCACTGACCCGAGCCCGCCCCGCCTTTTCTAGCTAACCGGGCCTTAGACCGGTTTGGGGCCCGCAACATCTGGTTGGTTCAGTCCCGCACAGTAGCGGGCCGGGCCGGGTGGCCCGAACCGAGTCCAGGACTAGTTGGATTATTCCTGAATAACTAAAAGATGAGACTATTGTAAGAACAACGCTAAAAGGTTGGATTAATAGTTTTCATTTTCCCTTTGTACTATTAATATTAAATAGTAGATTTTCAACTCTATTTATAAATTGTTGGGGAATACAAACCCGACTTTTTACAAAATCACGAGTTCATAGAATTGATGTATATACATGACACTTTTAACACCAAGATTGAATTTGACAATGGCTTTGAATAAATTTTCTGGAAGGAATAACTCACACTTCACTCTTTCTATTTGATACTATCTCATTCACTTACATTTATGAGAATTTTTTTGGATTCCCTTTCTCTCACCTCAAGTATCTCTCTAACTAGCATTTATGAGAAATCTTTTTTGACTGTCTTCTTTAACTCACGAGGATGCTCTTGACTCATGAAACATTATTTTTTTCTATTTTCAAGAAATTTTTTTTTCTTTTTTTCAAGAAAATAGCAATAAACTAGTTTTCTCAAGAACTATACTTTTTATTCCCCTCTACATTTCTAGTCTTCCAAGACGTGCAAGATTCAAGCCATTCAATAGAATATAGAGAATTTTACATTTATTTAAAATGTTCTAAATGCTTCTACACACTTCTACCTAAGCTTAAAAAGTTAAAATATTTTACATTCTAAATTAAGTCCGCGATATTCTAGAGTCTATGAACTTCGAACTTCATTAAGGAGGCTCTCATTCTCGGGGACCCAAGTACCCAACATAAACCAATAGGGAGCATTGGACTACCGGTAGAACTTTTAGCCGTTGCGAGGCCGGACTGGCGGAAAATTAAACCAAAAACTAGTTAAAAGTGAGCCACTGGCATTAATCTCCCACCCTCGCGACTAATCTTGGCATGGATTGGAACTAAAGAAATAAGCAAAAATATAATTTAAAAAAGTTGTAATAACTGCAATAACCAATAAAATAAAATGTTAAATTGTACCCAAATCAAGTGGTTAAATACTTCAAAATAAGTAAACACAGGACTGGAATGTGTGTGATAGATACAAAAAAGAATAGGCGTGGTTTAGCTAGAGCTATTAACTTATACTACCACTACTGGCAAAGGTAATAATAGATTCAAAATAAGATGAGAAGACAGGAAGCTGCAAAGTAAAGAGAGCTGCTTCCCTTTTTTTAGTTACGGAGTATAAATAACAGTAAACTCCAATTAGTTAGTTGTTGATAGTTCGGAATGGCAATCTCTCTTTAGGCATTATAGAAGCTTCACCAATCTTAGTTGGAGAAAGGCTCTGAGTGTTTTCTTTTGTGGGATGATCATCAACCCATTCATCGAATCCTCCTCTGCTGCTGTTCTTCTCTACAATTCTTTCCAGTTTCTTACCCAGCTGTAGATCTTCCATCCACATTTGGCTCATCTTGTCTGACACCCCCACAAGCTTTGACCTCAAGCTCCCGCAAACATCGAAATTGCGTTCAAGGTCTGAAGCGATTCCATCATTTTTCTCTTTAGACACCACTGCCTCTTTGACTGTCGTCTCCAGTATATCCACAAGTCTGCTCGAGAAGCTGCTGGTTGAATTTTGGAACTCCATTTCCAGTGTCCTCACAAGTTTCTGGAGATCATCTATTCTTCTGCAGTTCATCTCTTCTTCTACTTGTGTTAAGATAGCCTTTTCGAGTTCTTTCCTCAACCAGTCTTCTTCAAACCACTCGAATGTTTCCTGAAACGCCCTTTTCTTTATCTTCTCTTTGAGCTCATTTACTTCCTCTTCTTTCTCTGCTAGAATCTGGATGAGGCTTTCTCTGTCCCTTCTCAGTTCAATCTCAACATCCACCTGATCAAACAGTGATGCTTCCACTTCTTTCCGCATTTGGTGGTTTTCATCCAGCCTGGATTTTAGCCGTTCCGCTAAAGATCTCCATATCTGCAACTCAAACTCAATTTCCTTTGACTTGTAGAAGTTTTCCTCAAGTTCTTCGTTTGCTTGTTTAAGCTCACTATTTACTTCTTGCAGTTCACTGTTTGTTTTAACCAACTGCTCCATTGCTTCTTTGAGTGTTTCCTTGAGTATATCGGCCTCTATCTGTAATAGAATCTTTTGTTCTTCGATTGAATTCACAAAAGAATGGGAAGCTTGTAACTCGTCATGAAGCATAGTTATTATATTGTCTTTGCTCTTTAACTTAGAAGCCCATTCAGCTTCTTTGGCCTTGAATTTGTTTTTGAGCTTAGATGATGAAGAATAAATTCCAGCTTCTTTGATTCCAGCTTCTTGGAGTTCTTTAAGAGATGCCATCAGCTCTTGATTCTCTCGTTCTAGCTTTCTGGATTTGTAATCCATTTCTTTGTATATTTTATCCTTTTGACTTGAGGCTTCTCTTAGCTTTTCAATTTCTTTATCCCTTTGATTGGTCAAGCTGATAATTCTTGACTTGGCTTCCTCATATTCTGCAGAAACATTGTCCAACCAGGTTTTAGATTCTGAAAGTTGAACTTCCATAGATTTTCTCTTGTTTTCCTCACTATCAAGAGCTTGTTTGCAGAAATTGAGTCTGTTTTGAAGGTCTTCTGAACATCTTGACTGGGAGTCTAAGTTTACTTGCAAAGTCGAGATCTCCTCATACAATGTGTCTTTCTCCTGTTTCCATTCTTTCTCCTTTTGATGGAATTGTTTCTTAATCTTTTCATGAGCCTGAATTAGGAGGTCATATTTTTCCTTCTTCCATTTTAGCTCTTCTTCAAGCTTCATATTCTCCTGCTCTAGCTTCAACATCACATCATCCTTTTCTCTAAGTTCATTATAGACTTTTTTACCTTTTTTGACTTCAGAAGAAGTTTTCTGCGCAGAAGCCATTGCCAATTCCCTCAGCCTTTCAATTTCATCTCGGAAAGACTCAATTTTTTGTTCTTGATCCATATTTCGTGCATTCGCCTCATCTAAAGCCATTGATATACTCGTGTTGGCTTCTTCAAGTTCCTTGAGCTTCTGGGCAGAGTCAGTGCGAAGCCTATCATTGGCTTGACTTAGATGTGTTATGGCAGCTTCTTTCTCTTTGACATTTGACTTCAGCTCTTCATATCTTTGGTTTGATAGAGAGAGTTCTTCTACTTTCGTATCGAACAACAGTGTGATCTTAGCCAGTTCAGAACTTAAAGTCTGAGACTTGATCAGTTGCTCATTATAAGCTCTTTTGAAACTCTCACATGATTCTGCTTTGATTTTATTCTCTGTTTTGAGCTTCTCAATTTCAGCAAAGGCTTCATCTAGTTGCTCATGCAATGCACCCATTCCTTGTACTCCGTATATATTAAGAATATACAGTAATTTATCTTTAAATTTACACCCCACCTGCTCAAATACAAGTAAAATATAGTCAAGAAACATTAACCAGGTAGACTACATAAAGTAGGTGAAAGTGATGTTAAAATATAACACATTTTTCACAATAAGACCATCCTCTTGTTTTGTGTCAGAAGTACTCTATAGTTCTTCCTCTCGTTTTTCTCGGGTTTCAGAAATTCTTCATATTTCCATGATTTTTCTTCCTAACTGTTTATTCCTTGTTCACTACTTCACTCTAATCACCTTGGATGGCGCACATTCATATTGTTGCTTAACCAAATGAGGAAGAACAAATGGAGACCGGGAGTAGTTCATAATTCATCATCTCCTATAATAAAACGAAAACAGACCTAATGTGAAGAAATTTGTTAAATCTGAGACCTAATTTGAAACATTTCTGATCTTTCAATTATGAATACGCTTATTCTAGTATTTATCTATGGAACATGAAATCTTTCTCATAACCATTTCAGCACTGGAAGAATTAAAGATAATCCGACAGTTAATTTAACTACACAGAAGAAACTGCATGTTTATAAGCTGTAAGTTGATATAATCCAGAAACCTATATTTAACATCAACCTGAACAAGTTATTTATGTCATTATGCAATAAACCCGACTTAATTCAATATGGACCATATTTCTACATTTTCTCTGCGGCCATAAGCATTGTAGCGAAATTAGAAGACGAGTACCTGAAGAAGGTTCAAATCGGGTTTAGAACAGAAATTATTTGTTTAGAACTCCAGAGAGCTTTGAGAGCTTCGAAGGAATGAAGGAAACGGTTTGGTGGTTTCAGAAGTGGAGATCAGATAGATAGCCGTTGTAAAGCCGTTAGACGAAGTTTTAAATTTCCCTCAGGAAGGAAAAAGTCATTATGGCCGTTTTACGTCATACGGGCCGCGGATATTCAGTGCTGGGCTTTATGGACTCACTGAAGGCCCAAATTTAATTTACCGTACGTTTTTGGGTTTCGGCCTCATCCCGAACCCAAAAACCCTCCTTCAATTTCATTCTCTGTAGGCGGTACTGAAGCAAACCTTCTGGTAAAAATGGCAATCGCTGCGGCCTCCGCCGCTACCAGATCGATTTTCCGGTCGTCTGTTGCTCGTAGCGCTGCCGCAAGGATTGCGTCAGAGTCCAAAGCTGCTCGAGCCCCTTTTCGCATCGCTTCCAGAAGTAATCTAGCACCACGCATCTTCAGGTACTGTTCATTGTCAAATTTGCAGATGATTATGTGAGTTTTAGATATGAAGATTTTACTAGTAGTTACTTTGTTTATGAAGGTGCCCAGCTGAGTTGAGCGCCTGTGTGTCGTTGCAGCCTTATCACACGGCTACTGCCTCGGCTTTGATGACCTCAATGCTTACAGTTGCTCCCCGCAGCTTTGGTTGGCTTTCCGAAGGTTAATATTCTAAGGTTTTGCATTGGCTTATTATATAGTTTGGCTTTTCAAGATTAGTTTCTTTGCTTGCAAGCTGAATGGATTCAATCTTCTTGTTCTGTGTATGATTTGAACAATGTTGGTTCTGTCTCTCTGTACTTGGGACATGTTAGTCTAAAATATAGTGTTTTTATTGTTAAAAAATATATTTTGGCGAAAACACAATTTTGGAGAGTGAACGTAGATCATTGGCTTCCATTGTAATATAACAATCTTAATCTAAAACCCAGACTGTAACTTAAGTGGTTTGATTTAAAGAATGTTCAGTGTCTGACTGTCTTCATAAGTTTTCTTAGTCTATTTTCATAGCTACAGTAAATTTGAATGTTTTAATTTTTTGAGAGTAAATTGTGATCCCAGTGTTCACCACATCTAGTTCAAAAACATTTGTAAGTTAAAATGTTTTCACTTTCTCCGTTTGTTTGCCAAGGATTGTGAGTTCTCTCTACTTTTCTTTACTATTAGTAAGTCAATTCCTCAGTTTTCTTCAGTACAAAATGTAATCCATCTTCCTGAGTCTTTCAGTTTTTAATTTCATCAACCATGTCCCATGGAGTATATTTTATTTAACCTCATTTTACATAAGTATAAGTTTTTTTTCAGCATTCGCTCTGCACAAAAGATTAGTGAACATGTGTCTTCCTATCCTGCTTAGTTATACAGTATCATAAACTTTATCTAACTGGGCCGCCTAACGTCTGGGTTTTCCTTCTTGATTTAGGTATCTAGCAACACCTCTAGGGTCTACCTTTTCCTCATTAAACAATTTTTGGTAAGTCAAGTTTTCTCAGATTTTATTTTCCCTCTATGGGTTTCATAGGTCTGTGCGCTTGATGTTACATTCTTCATTTTATGAATGGGAAGTTGGGAACCTTTTATTGCCACATGATTAAAATAAGCCAAGCCCCAAAACTGTACTTATAGAATAGTGCAATGTTACTATTTGTTTCCTTTATAGGTGATGCATGCATTTTTTCCTAATGTAGGGGTTGACAAGACTAGATGAAGAGGGACAAGCAAAGAGGAATGATCTGGATTTCTTTTTGTTTCAAAGCTTCACATTTTAGTAGAAAATGATGTTTTTAGATGTTGGACTTGTTCCAAGAAACTGGAATTTGTGTAGATTATTAAAAAAATTAATTCTGATTTATTATCTCGCGTGGTATAAGACTAGATTATATTTATGGTGTTTAATTGTCATTCAACCTAAACATATTGGGAGTTTGTTGAGATTTGTTTGTTGAGATTTAAGGTGTCATGCAAGATATAAGAATTTCAAACTAAGACAGTCAAGTACCAACTCACACTTTTCTTTATTTAATCAGCTGTCAATGATGACGTGTGATGAATTTTTGGAGGGCTTTTGAGGTAATGAGCAAAATTTTCACTCTAAACTATCTGCAGATGGTTGTGCCCGATCTTCAAAATTGATGTACCACCAAGTTGCAACATTGTTGAGTTCATTATTCATTTTATTGGAAATAAGTGTTGATGAGTCTGTCATTTATATTGCTAATGGTTCATACTAGTAGGAATAGTGGAATACATACATTGTGCTGATTTTCTTCTTCTTTTGAAATATATCAGCCTGCGGTGATGATGTATGATCCATATGTTGTGTGCAAGTTTCCTGCGAGGGTGCTATCACAGCTTGTCAAAGTCAAACAAATCACTTCCTCTCTCTCTCTTTTTGTTAACCTTTTCTCCTATGGCTATGGTGAAGAAGTGTGTATTTCAGTCTAGATAATGATTTGGTGTATCAAATTTGCTTCTTTTTGGTAGAAGGAACATGGATATATTTTTTATAAATGTAAGAAGCAAATTACATCTGAATTCCTCTCTGCAGAAATAGAGTTATTTATGAGCTTCACTTAATGCAAGCAAATTTGTTCTTGATTTTCATGTTCTTGTGCCTCTTGTTCTACAACTTCTTCAACCTTTTCTCCCGAATGAATTGTATTGTATCTGATCACTACCGGGCATATGAATGCTGCAAAACCATACAACTGATTATTTCAGTTTTCATTGTGCATTTTCCAAAAATGTACAAATCTACAAACCGAACTAACCAAAATGACCAGAATTGACTTAAGGTGAGACAGTGAGACTACCTGCAAAAATGCGGGTGCCGACAGTTGTGAGGTTCCAAAATGCTGAAAATACTGATAGTGCTATGATCTTCTTGTGAGAGCAAGCACACCAGGCTTCTATCACCCACCATCTAATGCACTTTCCTGATTTCCTTACACCCATCAAAATATAACTACAAATGAAAAACCCTGGTGAAATGTATATAAGTTTATAATTTTGCTATCGTATATATAAGTGGTCGCACGGTGGACTGACAGTAAATTTCCTCTATATATATATATGTACTGAGCATGTGTCTGGATGATTTGAATGAGCCTTACCAACTGCACAAAGCCTCCATAGACTTAGGAGATGTCCATATTCAGCTCCAACCATAAGGAATGGCAGTACCTAAATTGACAATAGAGGGGTCACAACCCTGGTGAGACATACCCCATAAAGAAAACCATACTTTTTTTTGAAAGAAGAAAACCATACTTATATCTTAGGAACTATACATATACATACATACACATATAATGTCATTTATCATTTCAATTATTAACAAATAACCAATAATATCCGTTTCAACACTAAATACAGTAAATTATTACGTTAATGACATTTAATCTTATTAGTAATACACAATTAACAATTCACAAAATATAAGTAATGTTTTAATCCAAACTGAATTTAAATAATTCATTTCGTTAATTAAATAACAACCCTTTCTAAACGCATTTCAATTAATTAATATTTAAATTTAACGAATAATATCAAAAGTTTAACTAATTTAACTTAATTAGCTAAACGTACGTTTTAGCTAACTAATTTCGCTTAATTAACACATCACTACGTTTAAACCTACGTTACGTTTAGCTAACTAATTTCACTTAATTAACAAATCACTACATTTAAACCTACGTTACGTTTAGCTAACTAATTTCACTTAATTAACACATCACTACGTTTAAAACTACGTTACGTTTAGCTAACTAATTTGACTTACCACATCACTACGTTTAGCTAACTAATTTTAATTAAATTATTTTATAAACCTAAAAATTTAACTAATTTTATGACATCACTACGTTTGTAGTTAAATATTTTGTTAATTAATTAACAACCTCACTAATTTAATAGTGTTAATAATTTAAATTTAAATAACATACCTTGTTTGTGTAAACAGGGATAATGACATATGATAGACTATATCTTTCGATCTTTCAAACAGCTACTGTATTATATACTGGGAATGAATTGGTGGAGTTCTGTTGAATGAGCTGCTCCTGCATATATAAAAAAATTAGTCACAGACTTAGTCACGGATTTGTCCGTCACTACGCAAAACCGTGTACATTATGCGTCCAAACCGTGTAAATGACGTGTAAAGTACGTGTGCGAATAATTTTATTAAATTTAGTCACAGAATTAGTCACGGACATTTCCGTGACTAAATTTATCCGTATAGATTACCGTTGGGAATTAATTTCTGAGCGCTGGAAAATTAAACTTTTTAGTAGACACGGATTTAGTCACGGATTTGTCCGTGACTAAGTCGCCGGTGTAAAACAAACCCCGCCGGAAACGGAATCGGAGCTATCGGACCATTTTAGTCACGGATCTGACCGTGACTAAACTTAGTCACGGTCATAGTCACGGCCGGATCCGTGACTAATTTATTTTTTAAATATCCGTGACTAGTCCGTGACTAGTCCGTGACAAAACTAGTCACGGACCAAATCCGTGACTAAAATCCGTTACTATAACGCTGTTTTTTGTAGTGATGTATGCATGCATGCATGTATACTTACTTACAGGGCCGTCTAATAAATTTGGATGCCCGGTTCAAAATGAAGAATTGAGGCCCCCTAAAGCAAGAAAATATACAAAATTTAACATTACAAATTACAATATACATAGACTAGAGTATTTGGTGTTTTATAATGTTTTAAGTACACATTATATAGTTATAGACCTTTTGAAATCTGAAATAGTACATAATATTCAAAAAATCAACCTATAACTACTAGTACCTACTAAATTTTTGGGAGGCCCCTATAAGAGTGGGCCCCGATGCGAAGCACCTATTGCTCCTCCTAAAAGAAGACCTTGCTTACTTACATTCTTAAAACGTCTACACATATGCTCTAACTAATATTTTAGAACTCTTTAAAACATCTGCTCAAACACCACTCTATGTTAAGAAAAAAGAAAAAAACTCTTGGAACATGACACAGTGAGGGAAGAAAAATACTTTAAAGTTAAAGTAATACGTAGTACAAATTCTAAAAGTATTACTTACTATTCAGTAATCAACATTATTCACTTTTGATCCTAAGTTTATGTATCCAATCTTTTATTAAATTTGAATATAAACTTCGTGATTTGATAGAACTTTTAATGAAATTTCTGAATTTGTAAATCTAAGATTCCTACTGTCATGGAGTATTTATGAGATTATCATAAGTCAAACCTCAAAATCCAGTGTTACTTCTATCATGATAGTGTTACTTCTATAGATCATGGGTAATTGGATTTGCACCAATGGAAACCATAAACTTTGTACCCAAAATAGGAATTTATAGAGTTTTTGAAAGAAGGGAGGACGTACATTTTAGTCAAGGAGAAAGTAAAATGATATATGTACATACTGCAGAAAGACTAGAACATTTACTTTAAGGGTCATCGCTGGCTCTCCAGAAAACAAATCTCCTGTTTTTGAAATTGCAAGATTTACTGCTTTTCCCTCATTAAACAATTTTTGGTAAGTGAAGTTTTTTCTTAGATTTTTTTGCCCTCTATGGGTTTCATAGGTCTTTGTGCTTGGGCAACATTCTTCGTCTTATGAATGGGCACCTTTTATAGCCACATGGTTAAGACAAGCCAAGCCCCAATACTGTACATTTAAAATAGTGCAATCATACTATTTGTTTCCTTAATAGGTGATGCATGCATTTTTTCCTAATGTAGGGGTTGACAAGACTAGATGAAGAGGGACAAGTAAAGAGGAATGACCTGGATTTCTTTTTGTCTCAAAGCTTCACATTTTAGTAGAAAAATGATGTTTTTAGATGTTGGACTTATTTGAAGAAACTGGAATTTGGGTAGATTATTTAAAAAATAATAATTCTAATGTTCCTTTTGTCTTCTGAGTTATTTATATCTCGCGTGGTATAAGACTATATTATATTAATTGTGTTTAATTGTCATTCAACCCAAACATATTGGAAGTTTGCTGAGATTTAAGTTGTCATGCAAAATATAAGAATATCAAACTAAGACAGTCAAGTACCAACCAACTCACACCTTTCTTTATTTAATCAGCTGTCAACGATGACGTGTGATGATTTTTTGGAGGGCCTTGGAGATAATTAGCAAAATTTCCACTCTAAACTATCTGCAGATGGTTGCTCTGGATTTGCTTTGCTTGTGCCCAATCTTCAAAATTGCAGTAATGCTTGTGTATCACCAAATTGCAATATTTTGGAATTCATTCATTATTCATTTTGTATTGCAAATGAGTGTTGATGAGTCTGTCATTTATTTTAATGCTAATTATTACTAATGATATTATACTAGTAGGAATACAGACATTTGTGCTGATTTTCTTCTCCTTTTGAAATACATCAGCCTGCAGTTATGATGTATGATCCACATGTTGTGTGCAAGTTTCCTGCGAGGTGCTGTCACAGATTGCCAAAGTCAAACAAATCACTCCCTTTCTCTCTCATTTTGTTAACCTCTTTTTCCAATGGCTATGGTGAAGAAGTGTGTATTTCAGTCTAGATAATGATTTGGTGTATCAAATTTGCTTCTTTTGTGGTAGAAGAAAACATGGATATATTTTCATAAATGTAAGAAGCAAATTACAATCGAATTCCTCTGCAAAAATAGAGTTATTTATGGTCTTCACACTTTATGCAATCAATCAACTCCTTCTGATCATTCTCTTGTTCTTGATCGTTATGTTCTTGTGCCTCTTCTACAACTTCTTCAACCTTTTCTCCAGAATAAATTGTATAGTATCTGATCATTGCAAGGCATATGAATGCTGCGAAACCATACAACTGAATATTTCAGTTTTCATTGCGCATTAAAAAAATGTATCAATCTAAAACTGAACTGACCAAAACCGACTTAAGGTGAAAACTACCTGCAAAAATGCGGGTGCGGGCAGTTGTGAGGTTCCAAAAGGCTGAAAATACTGATAGTGCTATGATCTTTTTGTGAGAACAAGCACACCAGGATTCCATCACCCAGCATCTAATGCACTCTCCTGATTTCCTTACACATAAAAAAATAAGTATATAACTATATACAAAAGCGTGGGCAGTGGTAAAGAGTTTAGAGATTGTACCTTTTCTTCGTATTTGGGTAGAGTAAGATGAATATAATCTTGGAGCAGTGAAGCTAATGAAAAACCCTGGTGAAATGTATATAAAGTGTTTATTTTTCTATCGTCTAATATATATGTACGGAGCATGTGTTTGGATGGGTTGAATGAATCCTTACCAAGTGCACAAAGCCTCCATAGAGTTAGGAAATGTCCATATTCAGCTCCAACTATCAGGAATGGGACTACCTAAATTGAAAATAGAGGGATTACAGGTCTGGTGATATACTTCTGAAAGACTGAAATGTATACAGTATACCCCCCCATACAGAAAACCATACTTATATATCTTAAAGACCTATATATATAATATCTAAAAACATACATACACACACATAGAGAGAGAAATGATCCGGTTGGCTCGGATGGGAACCGCATACGTAGTATATGTTATAACTAATTTTTTAGAACATGGTGAGTGAGGGAAGAAGAATTTCTAAGATATCTGCTATAACACCACTCTATGTTAAGAAAAAAAAGAAAACAATTTCAGGACATGATAAGTAAGCGAAGAATACTTTAAAGTTAAAGTAATACAGCTTTTATAAGTATTAGTGTATTACTAACTCTGAACCACAATAGAAGTATAGATTGTTTACTATTTCACTGATCAACACTATGCACTTTTGATCCTAGTTTTATGTATTTAATCTCGGTGATTTGATACGACTTTTAATGAAATTTCGGAATTTGTATTTTTAAAATTCCGATTCTCATAACCTCACAATCCAGTGTTACTTTCAGTTTAGGGGCATAGGAAGTACCTTTTAGTCATGGAGAAAGTAAAATGAGTTATCTACATACTGCAGAAAGAGAAACTAGAATACTTACTTTAAGGGTCATGGCTGGCTCTCCAGAAAACACATCTCCTGTTTTTGAAATTGCAAGATTTACTGCTGGGAGAATGAATTTACCCATTCTCAAAATGTCATCTTCTTTCAGCTTCATTTCAGTCTTAGTTTCAACAATTTCTCTGGCAGTTCATGATGGAAAAATGGAATGAAGCAGATAAAAAGCATGAATAGTAAATTTGGAACAAGGTAAAAGAAAAAAAGGAAACGGAAGTCTCTCTAACCTTGGCCGGAGAGTATTCAAGATGAATGACACAGCCAGAAAGAAAAGCCCCATTTGAGACATAACTGAGAAAATGCTGCAAACAGACAATATTAACATAGAATCAATGGGAAAAGCAATCTCAAGATTCAAGAATAAAGGAAAATGGGTGGTTTTTAAGCAGAAAAATTAATGAAAGCATAAATAAGCACCTAAAGTTAATTCCACTCGTAAAACAGGAAGATAAGAAGCAGAGAGACCCAAAACCAAACCAAAGACTTGATTTTGCAACATCTCTCCACATCAAAACATCACTTATCAGCTTCCCATACCTGTCCAGATCAACCCCTTCTTCTCCTTTCATAAAAAAGTTTCATTAATCAATTAGTTTGACACTATAACCAAGAACCAATTGAACAGGATATAGAACTAGGTCCAACTTACTTGGAGAAGGCACTGAAGGAGCTAAGGCAAGCTTATCATTCTTTAATCTGGCAATTTGCCTCTTCTTTCTAGGCTTAATAATCACCTCCTCTCCTACCCCAGAATCTTTTTCGTCTCTCGCCATTTCCTGATCTAATCGCTTTCTGGGCCTTCTGGCATTCCTCGGAGAGGCACAAACTGAAGAAACATTCTTGCTCCTGCGTCCCCTGCGAACCGCTACAACTGGTTCTGCACAATTGTCACCCATTTCACGATTCTCTGGTAATGGTTCTTGGTTTGGGGCGGAAGGGGATACTTCAGCAGCAACATAGACTCGACGAAATTTAGAGCGCCTTGAAGACGATTTTGTTCGATTTCTGGGTTCAGGCGGATGAGAAAGCGGGGTGGAGACTGTTGAGTCCATGAGCGCGGCTGGTTGCTGTTATTGGATTTCCAGATGCGCAGATTTTTTAAGGGGATGGATACTAGAATGATGAAGCGCTGATATAGAAAAGAGCCGTTGGAGTTCATTTAAGTTTTGGGATTGGCAAGATCGGCTGAAGAAAAAAAATACTAGCTATTTAAACCTTTCCTTATTTGTCAAATGATTTACATCAAAACAGTTCCAAACAGTGGTGTCAAACAATGTCAAACAGTGTTCTAACAGTTCCAAACAATGTTCAAACAGTGCACTCCACAGAAATTTATTTCTTAATATGTGTGAAGTCAAACTGGGAACTTAATTAAGAACCAGAGGGAGTAGGATTTAATTCACAAAATGTATTGTCATATACTCACTCCTTTCTTTAATATTAGTCCTCTTAGGCTTTGGCATGAATTTTAAGAGAAAAATAATAGGGATAATGTAAAAGGTGTAGTAGATAGTGGGTAAATGAAAAAGTAGAAAAGAGAAAGAGGTCATGGTAATAAAAATGGGGAAAAAGTATATTGATTATAAAAACATTCCTTAAATGGAAAGGATGACAAATAAAAAACACAGCTCAAAATGGAATGAAGGACTAATAAAAAAGAACGGAGAGAGTATAATATGATAATATATATACCATCTATGAGTCAAATCTTATTATTGCTGGTTGGAAAATTTACTTGCATCAGTTACATGCTAAGGTGTTATGCCCGCATTGTTAGAAAATGAGTCAAATCTTATTAATGGAGAAAACCTCATTCATTTTCACGCTTCGGATCTGATGTCAAATGTTTGTCTTGTTTCCAACAATCAATCGTTGAATAGAATACATTAGAGGAGATTTTAACTTATTCAATACCAAAAACTGATCAGACAATACTGCGCAAGATATGAATGTGCTCTATTCTCACTTCTCTCTCAAGCGTAGAATGTAAAATGCCTATGTGAATATTAGAGATGTGAATGATTTGCATAAGAAAACAGCCCGAATAAAATAATTAAACTAATTTAACACAAATACAAATAAATAGAACATGATTAGACACCATAAAATATTCTCTAACATTTATCACATTAACACCATTTTTTATTTAATCCAAATCATATATAGAGTGCAGAACAAATGAAAAGGAGTCTTAACTCGTGTCCCGGACCTAATCCAGCCGTTCTTGGGCCTTGGGCTAAAAAGACCCATCGAGACGTGATCTGGTCCATTACTTCATCAATTGCACATTTTTGTGATTGCAAAAATGTTCGCTTATTTATGAATCTTTCACAAATCTATCACACAAATATCATTTTCATTTATCACATTAACGACATTTTTTATTTGATCCAAATCAAATAAATAGGATGCAGATCAAATGAAAGGAGGTCCTAACATGTAACATGCGATATATTCATTTCTATAGCGCTACAATGCACTTTTCTATTCATGTATCCCACTCTTTCATGCAAGTTTGCAAAAAAGTTTGCTTATTTACGAAATTGTCATTGCGAGTTTTAAAAAGTTTATATTGTAATACTTAAAGTGAAGCAGAAATGATTATAAATGCATTTCACACTTTTGACATGTTACATTAAAGAACGTTTTGTTTATTTAATCTATACTATATACGGATTACAGAGTACATATCATATTGATGTTTTGGGACATTTTTTTGTTTCCTTCGTCTCTGAAGAAAGGATGTTACTTTTTTAAATATTCTTAAAACGTGTAAATAAACATGTGAAACACTTTTTGACATGCACAGGACTTGATGAAATGAATCCGAGTTTCTATCAACATTTTTGAGATATAGCTGGAGGCATAAGTAGTTCGGCAATTTGTATCCCTACAAAAAATTAAGTTATTTATCTTCACAATGTAGGGAGGGAAATGAAATAAACTGTGAAGAAGCTAAGGTTCGAATTTGGCGATTTTGGGGCTCGAGTAGAAGATTGAAACCGATTTTCATTTATTCTATTGTTGTTGAAAAGCTGCGTCAATTTCAAGTGAGGCACATTTTTTGAAGGATGGTTAAAAAAAGTGTACAAACTATGAAGATACAAAAAGTGAAAGTTATTTATAACCATATATAATACGGAGTATATATTGTGCATTAGTGCATAGTAATCAACTAATCATTTTAAAATAATTAATAAAAATGGAATAGCGGTTTGTGGTTCACCGAGTCTCATCAGTTTTTTATTTATTTAGTCCATTATTATTTATTTACATCACCTGTTATTATAGGTATAACTATTACCGTTAATATTATGAAATGAAGTAAAAAAAACACAGTTTTTCACTCGATTCATAATATACGAGTTGGATCATTGGATGAGGTTGAGAAGGTCTTCAATCTATCTAGCACGAAAGACAAGTAGTGACGGGTCTATACTCTATTTTTTTCATATAGACAGAGTCTATATTTAAGTTTTTAGACAGCGTTGAGATACATATATAGTCTAAGTAAGCAAAAGAAAGAAACTAGTAGAATGAAGCAAATTCCAAAGTTGTACTCCACATTAATGATGTTTTCTTTTGGACTGAAATTTGCTAGTCTGATTTGGTCTGATCTGAAATGGTCTGGTCTCTGTGTATTTATAACTACGGAATTATGGTTTGATCTGGTCTGATATGGTCTGGGATTGAAAATAGTCTAAAAGAAAACATAAGGCCGAATAATAAAATAATTGTAACATAATAATGTCAAAATTTTAAGAAACTGTTACTTATAGAATAAGGCAGACATGGATTCCGAGAGATAGAATGCCAGTGATAAAGGGAATGTGGAAAAAAAAGCCAATCCCCAATTTCTTCCAATAAAGTTACTTATAGCAAATTAACAAAAAATTATAGTACTTTTATACTAATAGCAATACAAATTAGAGTAATGAAGCCTCCTTACAAGTAACACCTTCTGCATAGAAGACTCACAACCATATAAAGGAATGTATCATATTTTTACTCTATGTCACTTCATTTTAACTCAAATTGAACAACACATTCATCAATCTCAATGCTTGCAGAACTTACACCAATATCAATCTTGCTGATGCATTGCAGCCTCCGGTTGGACAAAGTAAGGTCTACGTCAATCTCAAGAAATGAATCGGAAGGAACGATGACAACGGACCGTGAGAGTGGAATCACACCATCACGTTCAAGTTGTGTCGGATCCTCCCCAATTCTATTGAAAAGGGTAGTTCTATACCAATCTTTGTCATACTGTGACAAGTACTCAAAGTCAGGTATTTTCAGCACAAAGACTCCCATACACCGTCGAAGGCGCATCATCGGTATCTACCCTTCTCTTCTGATGTTTATAGATGACCCTCAAATTAGTCTGTGCAGCATTTGAAAATATGGTATAATGTAAAGCTGCAAAACCATATTCACCTTGAATAACCGGGCATAAGCCTTGATCGTGATATCAAGAATAGTTTAGAATTTCAGCACTCCACTTAACATATCCCTTGATTTCTAAGGGAGGACAACACGTAACATCCTTTAGATCACAAATGATGTCTAATGAAGAACAAGACTCAAAAACTCCCGATCCAACTAATATAGGTAAACCTTTCCTTCCTTGAAGTAACTTTACAACATCATTTTCATCTTTTTTGAAGACGTCGAACTCATCATAGCCGCCGCATGACACTTTTATTGAGCCACATATGTTCACTTGTTTCCACTTCTCCCGACCAATGAGAACAGTGAACACCACTATTGCATCTGATGGAAACAGTTTACTCATACGCGGACGAAGAGCCCTGACCGTACCAAACAAACACAATGTAAATGAGGTGAGGAAGAAATGCTGAAAAAGTTTACAAATGGAAATAAGTATCGAACTAAAGAGTTCTTATTTCATATGACTATATGAGGTTAAAGAAGCAAAGTATACTTATCATAGAAGACAATTGATGCAACTTACTTTCAAACTCACTGCTTTCACAGATTTACATTCAAGTATTGCCCTCAAGAAAATACTAATATCGAGTATCCCATATTTAAATTATATGGATTCTAAAGCTTATGCAAATCCATGGAAATCGGAAAAACAGCCATGTGCATTAAAGGAGAAACCAATGGTAGGGAGATTTAATTATTAAAAGCATGAATGCTAAAGATGAGGTCAATATATATTTGGTCTCTACCCCAAAATAGCCCAGAGAGGATATTGAGGAGAAATTATTTGGGGAGGACTGACTATTTGGTAAGTATTTACAAGTCCATTCCTATATTTTAGGATTCCATGAAAAGATTAAAGTGAGTGATTAAGAAAATGAAAAGCGGATCAGTGTTTGAAGCACAAAGACGAAAATGGAAAAAAGATAAGAAGTCTACAACAGATCATATGACCCCCTCTATCCTGGAGAGACTCTCAATATAACAAATTTTTAAGATGGACTTTTGGTACATTTTAAAAAAAGGAAAGCAAATATATAGTAAGAAGGAATGCAAATACGCCATCATAGAAATGGGTCTCAACAATAGTAAGAAGGAATGCAAATACTCCATTTCCCAAACTCGGACCTGCCGGACCGGTCCCGACCCGGGACCAGTCCATCCCTAATAGCATTTACAAATTTGTATGTTATTGAGAGCTCATTGATAATACTTGAATGGATTTATTATGCTGAATTTTATTAAGTTATCACAGAAAAGGTGCACAGTGATTCAATATATTTATAAACAAATTATATTTAAAATATATTTTACTGACTCAATAAAGGTGGAACACTGTTGCCATTAATAGTAATAGGTTATATAGCTGTTGTTGACCTCAACGGGCATCAAGGGGTTACATACACTTCCTTAGAATAATCTTAGGCTTATACATACATAGAGCACACATTGTAAATATATTAAAATTTTCGTTGAGTTAGATTCTAGAAAATTGAAGTAAAAAATATGTAGTATAATTTTACATCTGATGCACGGGATATAATAACTTCCTTCATGTTTTATAATGCACTCATCCACAATCAGCAAGGAACTTGTAAGACTTTGCTTCTTTGTTTCTAAAATTCAAAACTGTACCAACCTTAAAATAAATCACAAAGGCAAACTCCTCCAGTCTCCTTTTATAAGCCACATTCGGAACTTTCTCATCAAGCTTAGTAACTATACTCTCCACTGCATGAAAATGGCTATCCCCATTTGCTCAAGTATGTACTATCTAAAAGTGGGCAGGTCACCAACTTGATTTGCATCTTCATCATCTGCCAAGACAATTTCCAAAAATCAATGAAAAAAAGCAGGAATTTGTGCTTAGAAATAAAAAACCAGAATACTTAATTTTTCTGAGAATTATAATCTATCTTCCCTTTCACAATTACCACCCAAGTTAAAAATATATGCATTTTAAACATAAGTGATATGCATGAATTAAAGTTCACTCTTTTACAGGTAAGACTAACAAATTTCCCCTTTTAGTGATTTCATTTTTTTGAATGAGAGCCTAAATAACCCATTCAAAATATTCACTTCAACTTTAGTGATAAGCAATACAGAAAGAAATAAAATAAGAGAAACCTCTCTAAATTTTTCTCAAATGCTTGCCCACATTCGAAAAACATGCTATAAGAAAGTATTTACATTTTTTATCTAATCATACATAGATTGGTCAGCTTGCTATAAGAAATGTTTTATAAAAACCTATAAAACGGCTAGGCATATGAAATAATATATACTCCGTATGATGTAACAATAACAAAATTACATTAGAGTCTAAACTAAATTCAAATAGTACGACTCAACTCCATCATATTCTATCATTACCTTATTCTTGTATCAAAGTCCAAGAAGAGAAGTAGCAAGACAAGACTATAGATAAAGAACCAATAGTATATTCTTGAAGCATTAGCAATGGAACACTGAAAATTAATTATTAAGTTAAAAATAAAAGGTGGCTTCAAATCTCTATCTAACCACACATGGATTGCAAAACTTGCTATAAGAGAACTTCACACATTCTGAAAATTGATACTCAGTTTGCTATATGAGAACTTTTAGAAAAACCTGTAAAGTGGCAAGTATATTAAAAGTTTTACACTTTAAGATGTTTTAAATGGTGATTTTGTTGATTTTGGTTATTAAAGCACATCGCTTAGTTTCAAATGATATTCTATACAACACAGTTCTAAATATCAAATTGTTGACCATTTCTGAAAATCTTTTCCCTATTTATAAATATTTTAATTTAACATTTCCATTTATTCTTGAGCATAGATTATTAGAAATAGGAATGTAACTTTCAAATGACAGAAAACCCCCATAAGTGGTACGACTTAGCTCATTTTTTAGTTTCTTCGTTTCATTTTTTTATACGCTTGCTATACATTTCAAGAAATCAGACCGTGTACCTTTTGCAGTTAAAAAGATGAGGAAAAAGTAAAGATGTCGGGTTACTTCAGTGTTATGAACTTACAATGAAAAAGAAGGAGCTGGTTTGAGGGAAGACAATTCGAAGAAAAATGATTCTATGAGGAGCATCAGAAACGGGGTTAAGTTACCATGAGTTGGTGTGATGAAATGTACATTGTAACCATGGCCGAAATCACTGTAAAAGCTAATTACCAAAGGCTTATGAAATGAAAGTAGGAAAAATCTCATCAAACGTGATAGTTGATACCCAACTGGTGAAACCCCTTCCGACTTGTCAATGAATCTTTCCGTCTTAAAAGAGGGGGAAGTGAGATATGGTACCTAACATTACAGATTCTGCTGTGTGGAGAAGAATCTGCTCAGCCAATGAACAAGCTTCTGAACTGTGTGATGTTGATCCCTAAGGTACAGTTTTCTGGCAAGCTGAAGATGATGGTCAATTTACCTTTAAATCTGCATTTGAAGAGGTAAGGGAGTTAGCCTTTAGTTCTGAGAGATATCAACAGATATGGAATACCAAACAAGAGCTAAAGGTCAAATTACTACAATGGAAGATTGCTAAGAGGATTCTACCATCATCTGACAACTTAAATAGATTCAACATGGTTCTGAATCCATCAATTTGCCCACTTTGCAGAAGGCACAGTGATACAATGAAACATTTATTCTTTCAATGTTCTCTGGTAGTCAGAATATGGCAGTACTTTTTAAGTATCTTTGGCATTTTACAAACTCCAGGAATGGACTATGGAAACTTTCGATATTGGAGGAGAGGTAATGAAAGGAAAAGTTCGGTATCCCTTATCAAGCCAAATATCCCCAGTATCATTTGTTGGATTATTTGGAGAGTTTATTCTAATCTTGTCTGGGGATCTGGGGGTAGGAATCCTACTTCGGATAATATTATCCTTCAAATTAAGATGTACATTCAAAATTGGGTAGCGAGCCTATCTACCTACAAGATTCGGTTCATAGGGGATGTTCTTTTTGAGGAAGGCCTTATTCCCAGAAACTTCAGACTCAGGGGTTTTAAGCTACACATCATTCGTTGGAAGAAACCTATAAAGCTTTGGAAGCTGAATGTGGATGTTAGCTACTTACCGGAGAGGGCTTCAGGAGGTGCAATCTTGCGCTGTTAGTAATATACGATATGTTCATATGAGCTGGCATTAGTTAGTTTGTTAGAGTCTTGTTTGACAAGTCACTATTGACTCAACTGAACTACTGATGTATAAATACTGATGTAACACTTCTATTTTTATTAATGAGATTTTCATTCCTCTTCTATCTCGACCCTACTTCTGTTTCTAATATGGTATCAAGAGCTTGAGTTCCACCTCTTCGACTGGAAATTTCTCCTTTCCAGTTGTATTCACTCATCCGCTTCATCTCAAACTTGACACAAACAATTTTCTTTTTTGGAAACAGCATGTAGAATCTGTGGTTCGTGCTCATAAACTTCTTCACTTCATTGTTAATCCTAAAGTTCCGCCTCAATTTGTTGACTCAGCAGATCATGAAGCTCGCCATGATGTCAATGAAGCGTTTATTGCCTGGGAGCAACAGGATCAGATGCTCTTCTCCTGGCTCTTGTCATCGCTATCGGAAAAATTTCATGCTAGGGTTATTCACTGTCGTTACTCGCATCAAATCTGGAGTGTAATCCAGAAATTCTTCAAGTCTAATATCATCGCACAGGCCAGGCAATTGAAATCTGAACTCTACACGACATCAAAAGGTGAGCGAAGTATTTCTGAATACCTTCTTCACATTCAGAACATTGTTGACACACTGGTTGGCATCGGTGAATCCATCTCTACGAAGGATCAAATCGATGTCATTTTGGAAGGACTCCCGGAAGAATATGACTCGCTTTCATCCTCGATTACTGCTCTTTCTGACTTAGCCGAAGTTGAATCCTTACTTCTAGCCGAGGAAAGGAGACTTCGCAAATTTCGTGAAGCCTCGCAGTCAACTATCTTTTCTGCTAATGTTGCTCGGATGGAAGACTCTCAACCAACGAGCGACTCGGATTCACAGGACTCTCAGGAAAACACTTCTGCTAATCTAGTTCAGACAAATCAGAATGGCTCTCAAGGAGGTGGTAACCAATACAGAGGCAGAGGTCGCAGTAATTCTTTCAGAGGCAATTCGCGAGGTGGAGGAAGATATGGAGGAAGATCTTCAATTGTTTGTCAGGTGTGTAACAAACCTGGCCATCATGCCTTGATTTGTTATCATCGTTTTAACCCAGCCTACACTTCTCAAGCACAAAATTCTCAAGTTCCCTGGTCTAGGCCTCAAATATCTATACCTAACTATTCTCCACCACAACAATATGTCCCTCAACCTTCTCTGCATAACTTCTCTCAGCATCCAGGGCCTTCTCAATGGACACCTCAACCATCATCTTCTGCTCCTTACCCTGGTCCACCTTCTGCAGCATGGGCATATGCTAATTCTTCCATTTTGGGACCTCCTCCACAGCCTCAGTCCTGGTTCCCAGACTCCGGGGCCACTCACCATGTTACAGCTGATCATCAGAACCTGCATCACAGTGATTCTCCTGTTAACACTGATAAACTCTTTATGGGAAATGGTCAAGGTTTGCACATTAAGTCTGTTGGTTCATCATCTTTTCTATCTCCATACAACTCTTCTTGCTGCCTTTCCTTAAATAATATGCTTCATGTTCCCTCTATTACTAAAAATCTTCTTAGTGTTAGTAAGTTTGCCAAAGACAATCAGGTTTACTTTGAGTTTTATCCTTATGAGTGCTTTGTCAAATCCCAGGATTCTAAACAAGTCCTACTGTATGGTACACTTGGAAGTGATGGTCTTTACAGATTTCACTCTTTTCCTGATCTGCGTCACAACACTGCTGGTCCTCAGTCTCAGTCCATTCAAGTCTCCTCTCCAAATGTTCAGAAATATCAGTCTTCATCTATGTTTAGCTGCAATAGTGTTCATTGCAATAAATCATCAACTAGTCTTAATAGTAGTAGTCAGACTATATCTGCTTCAAATTCAGCTTGTAAACTTTGGCATCTTAGGCTTGGTCACCCTCATTTTGAGGCTCTTAAGTCTGTACTCTCTCAATGTAATGTTCCTTATATAAATAAAAATGCTATTGGATTTTGTTCATCTTGTTGTCTTGGAAAAGCTAAACGTTTGCCATCATCTTCTTCCAAAACTGAATATTCTTCTCCATTTGAACTAATTTTTACTGATCTGTGGGGACCAGCTCCTGTCGCTTCTTTTGATGGATACTCATACTATATATCATTCATTGATGCTTTCACTAGATTCACTTGGATTTATTTTCACCTGACAAACAAGCAATTGGTTGTAAATGGGTTTTCAGAACCAAACAAAATCCTGATGGAACTGTTCACAAACTGAAAGCCAGATTAGTGGCTAAGGGGTTTCACCAAAGATATGGATTCGACTTTGGTGAGACCTTCTCTCCAGTTGTCAAACCTGTCACTATCAGAACCCTACTTACTCTTGCCATCACCAATCATTGGTCAATTCAGCAATTGGACGTTAATAATGCCTTCCTAAATGGGGATCTTGAAGAAGAAGTGTATATGATTCAACCTCCAGGATTTCAATCTGAGGATAAATCCTTAGTTTGCAAGCTCCACAAAGCCTTATATGGCTTAAAACAGGCTCCCAGAGCCTGGTTTCTTAAACTTACTTCTGCCCTATATGCTGTTGGTTTTAAACAGTCCAGATGTGATCCTTCTCTCCTTATTTTCATACAACACAATGTCAGAGTTTATGTTCTTATCTATGTTGATGACATACTTGTTATTGGAAACAACCTCACTGTTGTGCAAAATCTCATTCAAAGACTTAATTCCACCTTCTCCTTGAAGCATCTGGGAAATATTGATTTTTTCTTGGGCATAGAAGCACATTTCCTTTCTGATGGTAGCCTGCATCTGTCTCAAACAAAATACATCAGAGATCTGCTCACCAAAGCTGGAATGGCTAATTCAAAAGGCCTGAAAACACCTATGCTTAGTTCTTGTAAACTAACTAAAGAAGGCACTGATTTTGTATCAGATCCTACTCACTACAGATCAGTAGTTGGAGCTCTTCAGTATGCTACTCTCACAAGGCCTGAAATTAGTTATGCTGTTAATAAAGTCTGTCAGTTTATGGCACAACCCTTACAAGAACACTGGAAAGCAGTTAAACGTATTCTCAGATATCTATCCGGGACACTTCAGTATGGACTTCTAATCAAACCTGCATCCTTCAACTCATCCATATCTCTTACTGCATTTTGTGATGCAGACTGGGCATCTGATCTCACTGACAGAAGGTCAACATCTGGCTGCAGCATCTTTCTTGGTCCCAATCTTATTTCTTGGTGGTCTAGAAAGCAAGCATGTGTTGCCAGATCTTCAGCTGAAGCTGAATATAGAAGTCTTGCTGATACAACAGCTGAAATTCTTTGGATCCAATCACTTCTTCAAGAGATTCAAGTCTCACATTGTGCTCCCAGAATATATTGTGATAACCTAAGCACTGTCAGTCTAGCTCATAATCCTGTTCTACATTCCCGCATTAAACACATGGAACTTGACCTATATTTTGTTCGTGAAAGAGTTCATTTGAAGCAACTGGAAGTTTTCCATATTCCTGCTGCACTGCAGATTGCTGATGTTCTTACAAAGCCTCTTCCCAGTTCTAGGTTTATTGAGTTGAGAGACAAACTGAGTGTCACTGATTTTTCTTCGAAATCAACCTCAGTTTGAGGGGGGAATGTTAGTAATATACGATATGTTCATATGAGCTGGCATTAGTTAGTTTGTTAGAGTCTTGTTTGACAAGTCACTATTGACTCAACTGAACTACTGATGTATAAATACTGATGTAACACTTCTATTTTCAGTAATGAGATTTTCATTCCTCTTCTATCTCGACCCTACTTCTGTTTCTAATATGCGCGACCAGAAGGGCGACTTGGTTTCTGCGATTAGTTTTCCAGCTCAATCGCCATTTGAAGCTGAGCTGCAGGCGATATTCTCAGCGGTGAAATGGGCTATCGGTGAAGGATACACGTCTTTCCAGGTTAATCGGATTCCACCTCAGCTTTGGATTATCTTGAGGAGAAGGAAAGGAGGTGGACGGTTTCACTTGAGGAAATCTCAGAGGTGGCTATTAGGAAACATGTTTGATTTTTTGGATGAAAAGTAAATTATACTAGCATTAACGTCCAAGCAAAATTTAACAAGTATAACACCCTAAACTCCTAATTTCATGTAGTAGTAGGCTAAATAGGGTATTAAAAATGGAAGAGTGGATGAAGGGTGTTAGAAATAGAAGGTGGGTTGGTAAGGGAACTAGGGAAGGGAATGGTCAAGAATGCATTGTACGGATGTGAGGATGATGTCATCCCTGCATCATTCTAATCCTAAACTTTTTAAAACTCTTATAACTTTTTTATTTGTTCTCCAAATTTTTCAAAAGATATATCAAAATTTACGAATTTTTATTACTCCCTCCGTCCCAAATTGTAAGATACTTTACGATTTACGATGTTTGACCGATGATAAAGCAATTTGATCCCTGTCAACACTCAAATTAGTTTTAGAAAATAAAATTTACATATTTAGAAACTACATCAAAACCGCTACAAAACCTGCAAAAAATAATTCAAATTTCATAAACTTTTGGTATATAAAGTAAAATATTAAGAGTGATTTATGTTGACCAAGTGAATAGTAAATGTATCATACAATTTGGGACTGAGGGAGTATCTTTCATATGACACCAACATGTAATATATAAAATGAAAAAAAATCTTATGTTTTAACTGTTGGAATTTTCTTGAGCTTGAAAAAACACAAGACACAAATTGTTAATTCATGGAGCCTCTACACATAACTGAATATTCCATAATAAAACTTTACTTGGACTAAATTCATTTTTTGTTAACCGAAAAACGTAAAAACAATTAATGAAATTTATTTATTTTTACATCGAAATATGTATTTTTTTATTTCATAATTATTTAGGGGAAAAAAGTAAATTGAAAATATTACTTATGATGATTTAACTAATGTTTTACTAAATTGATATGTGAAAAAATATGTTGAATGTATTTTATTGACATGCTGAAATGCAAAGAATAAGAGTCTAAACACTGTTTTCATATGGACGGAGTCCATTTTTAACTTTTTAGCCTCCTAACCACTACAAATGGTCTAATGTGTCCAAAAATCAAAAGCCCCCCTCCCCCTCTTATTTCGTGAGAAAATGAAAGGTTGAGAAAAGGCTAATAGTCTAGTCTAAGTCAATCTCGACCTATATGCAAAAATATGCGGCCAATAAGTCAAAAATCAAAACT